TGTGTGTGTGTGTGTGTGTGTGTGTGTGTGTGTGTGTGTGTGTGTGTGTGTGTTTCCCATCATCGTGTTTGTCTCCTGATCTGCAGCAAACAGGCTGAGGCAGCCGCGGGTCATGAGGTAAATATTAGCCGAGGAGGGTTAGAGGACGCGCAGGAGCCCCGCTCACGGGCAAAAACCTTGTCAGATTAGCATTAAAGCGGCGTGGCTGCGGCGTTCCCGAGGACGCTGCGAGGGCCGGGGCTGTGTTTACACGCTGCGTGTGCTCTGCTGTTCCAGCTCGCAGCCAAATCCACGGGACGTGATTACTCATAACAAAGTGTCGTTTTCTGGAGCAAGCGCACTCAGCTAAATGAGAACGAGCCCTAGCCTTCCTCCTCTACCTCCTCTTCCTCTGCCGTCACCTCCAACAGCCCCCACCTTCTACGTGTCAAATTAAACATCAAAAAGATCGGATACATCCCGCAGCCAAACAGCAACTCAAGACGGTTTGTTTTTTATTCTTATTTTTCTTTCACGTCAGCGCTGCGGTTTTGATGTATGTCGGCTGTTCAAGCACGCTGGGAGGAAATCAATTAAGCCAGCCAAAGTCATTGATAATGCTGGTGGGTTGGAGTGATTGCATCCTCACATGAAAATCCATAAAGCTGCAGGTTAAGAACAGGGAGAAAAAAAATACACACATATATTTATATACAGTATATATTACACAGACACACTGCAGTGGCCTAAACCTGCTGGTTTCCTATACTTTGCCTCATAACTCATGGCCTGCAGGGAGGAGCTGGTATTGTTAGATTCTGTGCGTGCATGCACAGGGCCAGATTAATTTATTAGCAGAGGCAGAAGAGCTCCCCAAAGCAGGAACAGGAAGTAAGACGTCGTAAATCTCGATAAGTCACCGAGATAGTGCATTTCCATAGGTTTTCTACTTTTTCTTTTTCTTTTTATCAACGTGAGTCTAAAACAGCAAACGGCGATGCTGATCGTCGTGGAGCTACTCCCCTTTTTTATTACTTTTAACTTTCTGCTGCTGACTGATACGCTTCAGAGGAAAAACAAACAGAAAAGATTTAAAAAAAGTTTGTCACTATTTCTTTTTTTGTTGTTGTTGTTATAAAGCACTCCACACACAGCAAGATAATTGTCTTTTGTTTTCCGAGCACTGAGCAGCAGGATAATTAGCTCGAGAGAACACTTTGCAGAGTGCATTATTGTTCCACTGTGAACTTTATGAAATATTCAGCCGGCTTGGGGGATTTTTACAAGGAGCAGAGCGAGACAGAGAGAGAGGGAGAGGGAGAGGGAGAGGGAGAGAGGTGGTGGTGGGGGGAACAGATGGAGAAGTGATATTCTAATCCTCTCAAAGCAAGTGTGGCAACCTTCTGAGACATTCCCTCCAGGTGACATCATCAATCAATAAGTGGCTCGACTACCTTTTTTCCCCTCGTTTCAACCAAACCTGTGGTATTTTGAGGTGAAAAAAAATAATTATATAAAGACTGTTGATGGTGCTGAACGTCCCACTACCTCTGCAGCTACAGTCAAATAAAAGCTGATGGGCCGTAGTCTTGCCATTATTAGAGCCAAGGCCTCACACACACACTTTTACACACACACTTCAATGAACACTGCAGCAAAATTCACACGCGCTGACTGCACAACGAGCCCCTATGACATCTGACATTTGGGGGATAAATCATGAATTCACTTGAATGACTAAGTTGTAGTTAGAAGCTGCTGCTCTCTTCCTCCCCACCCACCCTCGCTGCTCCCCGTGAGCTCAGCTGAAGGTCAGCTCCAACCTATACTCTGACTTCTTCCTCTGCACTTTGTCAACACTTTCCAGCATCCTGCGAAGAAGACGGGAAAATAAAAAAAGCAGGAGTCCATATGTGGGTTAGACGTGTTCCCAGAGAGTAATCTGTTTTTATCAGACGTCTGATAGTTTGAGCGGAGTTGATGTGATATTTTGTTTGTTTTTAGGACTTTTAGCTGCTTCTCGTGAGAAACTTCTTCTCATGTGCAAAATGGAAAAAAATATATAATAATACTAATAATAATAGCTTAAAGCTTTCAGAGCCAGGAGCAACTCAAACAATTGTGCAGGCATTTCAAGCATTTTGCCTGGTGAAACCACTTTATCTTGACTTTTTTTTTTCCTTTTAGAGGGACAACCAAAACTTTTGATTAAAGGCCTAGCATTCCTTAAAGGAATGCATGTCGCCCGCCACTTTTTCAGTCTCAAACTGATGTCGAGGAGCAGCTGTTTGGGTCAAACCTAGATCGGTCAGCGCTCAGAACACGAGCTGGAGATTCACCTCAGCTACTACCACGCCAGATTTCAACTGTGAATCTCTAAAACTGACTGAGTTATAACAGTTATTTTTTTGTTTTTCATACAGTCGTTTGGCTGTGGTGGCCATCCTAAATTCATGGGATATTTTGCTAACAGACAAATAAGGTTGAAACCATAGATAATGCCAACGTTTTAAAGATGTCACACGAGCAGGGATTGCAGTAATGACTCTCAGTGCTATATTTTACGTTAAAATCCCAACATTTTACTTTTTTTAAGTTCATATAGTTGTGCTGACCATCCTATTGATGTGACTCCAAATAATAAGTTACAGTTAAATTTCTGAAATCTTCATTAAAATCCACCGTGGATGAAATATTTTGCTAACAGACTTGACAACAGTAGTTTATGGCAAAGTTTGAAGAACAGATCTGTCACCTCTTGTAGCATAAGGGAATGACTCTCAGCTACTACCACACTTTTTTTTAAATAAATCCACGTCTGCAAAACGTTACTAAAACCATAGCCGGTTCTGTGATTGCTAAGTTTAACTGTGGTGGCCATCTTGACTCCAAAACGTATGTAGATGAGCATCCAGGGATTAACTTTCTCAAAGTTTCATTCAAATCCATCCAGAGGTTCGTGAGATATTTTGCTAACACAACAAATTCTGTGAGCTGCAGCAGCTCATGAGAGCTCCTATTCGGTTGGTTGACTTGACTTTCAGCCTTCAGCTAATAATATTAATTACACAACTGTGGACAAACTTTCACAACCTTGGCAACAAAAAAAGGTGCGCGTAATAAATGACTGTAATTAACCATTCAGTGATTAAAGCGAGGCCTGCTCTTTATTATACCTGTGTGGGGGGTTGTTGTTGTATGGAAATACCCCCTTTTGGGATTATTATTGTGTGAATGCCTGGATGGCATTCACACAATTGAGACCATTTTTCGGCACCTTTCTTGTTCCACAATTTTTGTGCTACTTCAACCATTCATACATCAAAACGTTCAGCTCTTTGGTGCAGTGCCTGCTATGACTTTTGCTATTTCAGCTATTTATAGCTTTTTTAGCTATTTCAACTTTTTTAGCCACTTTTTTCCCATTGACTTCGAATGAGGCTATTTTCAACAACCTTCAAATCCTTCAAATAGTTTCTAAATCTTTAAAAACCTTACACAATTCATTCTGGTTGTGCTCTTTTTTACTCCCTTGTGCAATTTTTAGCAACTTTTTTACTAACTGTTTTCTGCTATTTCAGCTATAGTTCTGCTTTATTTGCGCTTTTTTTCTGCTAATTTGAACTATTTATGCTTCTTACCGTTGCTTTCTACTTTATTCAGTTGGTTTCTACAAAATGAGCTACATTTTAGCTGTTAATAGCTAAAATTAGCTTTTTATACACACATTTTGTTTGTAACAATTGGAACTTAATTCTGCTGAATTCAGCAAGGTTGTACGCCCTATGCATTCTTATGCTAAATAAAATATTTCCAGCTTCTGGCTTCTACTTTTAGTTAGCTTTTATGCTAATTTTAGCTGTTTTCTGCTATTTTATCTGTAGTTCTATTTTCTAGTATTCCTATGCTATTTTTTTGCTTTTTTGTGTTTTTTCCTGGTACTTTGTGTTATGCATGTTCCTTACAGGTGCTTTCTGCTTAATTAAGCTATTTTAGCATTTAGCTTTTTTATGCTATTTCAGCTATATTTTTGCTCCTTTTTTCACTGTTTTTCCTTTTGCTTCTTTCAGCTTTTAAAGTTTGACTTCGAATAATACTTTTGCTATTAAACTTTCACAATTTCAGCAGCTTTCAGCAGCAGGCATTCACACTAGCATTTTCGCAGGAAATGCAGTTTTTCTAGTTATTATTATTATTATTATTATTATTATTATTATTGATGAATGAATGCAGGACTCACTTGGGGTTCTGGGAGCTCCAGATGATGGTCTCCAGTGATCTGGCTGAGAGTAAGGCCGACCTGCATATTAGGATAAACATCCAGAGGTAATACTTCCAACAAGCGAGTCCCGCCATGCTGAGAGAAAAATGTCCAGAGAGGGAGAGGGGGGCGCCGGGGGTCTTTTGTCTGCGCTTCGGCCGCTGGCAAGGTGAGCTCGGATCAGTCGGGAGCATGAGAGCTCGGTATAAGATACATCTGTCCCACTTATTGTGTCCTTCACCGGTCTGCTCTCTCTCTCTCTCTTTCTCTCCGGAGGGGCAGTGTCCTGTGTGACCTGTGGCCGACTGGAGCAGCTCAGTCCCGGGAGTGGAGCCTCGTCACCGCCGCTCTCCCTACCTGTCGCCGTACGCAGCCTACAGATGACCACATTCATCCATCAGTCACAGCTCCGCGGCACGCCGGGAATCCGGAGCTCCTCTTCATTCCAGTGTTATCTTTCACTCCTCCTCTTCTTCTTCTTCTTCTTCTTCTTCTTCTTCTTCTTCTTCTTCTTCTTCTTCTTCTTCTTCTACAGAAAAACAACTGTTTCTATTGTAAATATCCCTCCAGGCTCTCAGTGTGTTGCCTCTCTCTAGTCCACCTCCGGAATGCCAAAGCGTTAATTACGTTCCCACAAAATTAAAACTTAAAAAAATAAAATAAAAAAATAGTCGAGTTATCGCTCACTCAGCTCTGTGACATTTTCCACACCGCGTCCGTGTTTTCTTTCTTCTTTTAAAAGAACTGCCTTTTTTATTATTAAAAAAAAGCCCCACTTTGCTGCCGCTGCTCCTTGAGTGTGCGCGCGTGTGCAACAGCTCGAGCTCGACTGTAACCCGAGACCAGGCAGGAGTGAGCGAGCGGCGGGGGGACGGCCCACAGAGGGCGCGTCGCAGCCAATCACCGCGCTCTGCCTCTGTCCGAAGTTGGAAGCAGGAAGCTGGAGGCATTTGTGGGGACGTGGAGGAGACGAATGTGTGTGGGGCTCGCACTCGGGCAGAGCACCTCGTCCCTCCCCACCACCGAGCCTGGCCGAACCATCGACCCAAAGCGAAATGGACTTTGGTTCAGTGTGCACTTCTGTCATACTGAAAGCCACAAACGATAGTGAAAGTTGTGCGGCAGTTAAACTGCTTACAGGAGCAAAAAAGCTTGGCTCATTAAATCAAAACCGTAAACTAATTACTCCTGTCGTAAACATCCCATAATCACAATCCTCGTATTTTAAATCATAAAACTCATATAATTGTGTTTTTTTTATGATCAGGCAGAACATAAACGTTTTTGCCTCAGTCTGTAAGCAAAATATCGATGAAATTACTGGATGTGTATTATTGAAACTTTGTGATCAGTGAATATACATATACAAATATTTTGACTTAATTTAATTCAAGATTGTCGCCACAGCCAATTGAACTTGGAAAACACAAAAAATGTCTCTAAATCTGCCACTTTTACAGATAGTGACCTAAAATTTGGCAGATTAAGCTGCTTGTTTGTTTGTTTGTTTGTTTGTTTGTTTGTTTGTTTGTTTGTTTGTTTGTTTGTTTGCTTGTTTGCTTGTTTGCTTGTTTGTTTGTAAATTTAGTCATGCACTATTTGGAGCCAACTGTGTCTGTCTGTTAGCAAAATATTTCATGAACCACCAAATAGTTTTTAAGAAAAATTTGCAGAAAACAATCAGCGGATGGATATCTGTAGCTGTTTAACTCTTGAAGTCAACCCATTTTAATTCAGCTGCCAAAGCTAGCTGATTTTAAAACACACAAAAACGATGACAGCTCAGTCAGTTTTATAGATATCGTGCTAAAACTCTGTCTTACAGCAGCTGAAAGTATTCATAACTCGTACACTTAATGCTGCACGTCACAAGGTTGCTGCTTAAATTTTATAGCACTAACTGTTGGAATTTGTGTTTGTTAGCAAAATATCTCGAACCACTGGACAGATTTTGACAACACTCTCAGAAAGTGATCACTGGATGGCAACGTCTATAGCTGATTAACTTTTGGAGCCAACCCAAGTCAAAATGGCCACCACAGCTAATTACCATTAGCTGACACAAAAACACCCAGAGCTCAGTCAGTTTTGCAGACACTGAGCTGAAACTTGGCGTGGTTTTAGAGTCACTGTGAGAGAATCTCAAATGAGAAAATCCAGTGTGAAAGGCAGCRGGTGACAAGCATTCTTTCAATGAACGCTAATTCCTCTATCAAGACTTTGAAAATGTGTGGCAGATATTTCTTTGCTCCGTAGGATTACAGTATGAGCTCTTCTGGTTGCTTCTCTCTCTCTCTCTCTCTTTCTCTGAAGGGAATGATGATTAATGGCCTCTTTGGATCTCTTTCTGTTTGTCCTCCTGCAGGATAATGAACTGCATGAGAACTTCGTCTCCAGTGTTGGTGGACAATAGGCGGTCGGTAGCCTGTAGTCACTGAGCCATTCACTCATTCATTCAGGATGAAATGCTTGACACATAATTGATCATGTCCATGTCTGTGCCCCCTTTGTGTGTGTGTCTGTGTGTGTGTGTGGCTCCCACCCTCACTTTGTTGCATTTCATCAAACAATGCTGCCCCCTAAAGGTGGAGATGAAATCTATTCTCAGACTACCAAAGGGGAATTTTTGGGATAATTTAAGTGGGGAAAAAAAGTCAGACATTCAAACCATTATAGTTCCTAAAATGACGCTTTTATTACATCCTGTTGTGAGCTGACAGCCCATAAATCTCGGTAAAACAATAATCTAAACACACGCTTGGCTCCCAAATGGTCGGACTCTGTAATTATCTGAGTGTATTTCTGTTCGTGTGCTTCGACTCTAGAGACGCAGATAACAGAGGGCCAAGGTAGAGCCAAACAGACCGTCAGGAGGTCGTATAAGAAAGATTTCATATTGGCAAAACATCTCATGAACCAGTGAATGAATTTTAATGAAAGTCTTAAACAAGTRGYAAACATTTGYTAAAATGTAYASATCYAAAACTGATTGAYTTTTAGAGTCAACCTGATTCAAGATGGCTGCCACAGATCTCTGAGCTCCCTCTACACAAAAATGACCGTGTTTTTTGTCTGTTTTAGGGACATAAAAAATTAAATGTGCTGTGGTGAGAACTGACCCAAACTGATACTCTGATGACTAACTGATTCTGAAAAATGTTTTTGTTAAACTTTGCCATTACTTTTTGAAGTTCCTGTCTATTAKCAAATTATGTGGTGAACCACAGCGCGGATTTTTAATAAAACTTTTAGAGAATMATCATTTGTTGTGTCTCYACAACTGATTAACGTTTGGAGTTAATCCAGTTTAAACAAGGRCACCACCGCTAATCAAAGTGAGCCAACACAAAATATGCCTATAACAGTCAGTGTTAGGCAAAGAAGTTGTATGTTTTATTAGCTGAGAGTCACTCTAAACATGTCCTCTAAATACTAAAAGATCGTGCTGCAATATTCTTTTGAAGTGGTGCTCTGCGGAGTTATCTGTAATCAGTATCTTACCTGCAGTGTAAATGGCTCTTAGTGTTATCAGTTTGAAAAATCAGGCAGAAGTTTTCTCTCAGGGGACAGATGTCTGACTTTTCAATCTGATAACACTCTGAGTCATTTCTCCTGCAGGTTAGATATTGATAATTAGTGGTAACAACTCCGCAGAACATCACTTCTGAAAAGCCTAACTGTGTTTTAAAGACATTTGTCATTACAATTGTAGCTATCGCCATTCCATTTTACAAATGTATGTTTTTAAATCCCTAACGATGTGTTTTACCAGGTAAAAGGGTTTGTAATTATCTGTAATCGTTTGTCTTCTTCTTTTTGAGTAACTTMAAAGAAATGTATGACTTGAGCAATGACTGCATTCTACATTTAAATGTAGTTTTTTTAAAGTAAAAATTCTGTTTCAGATGTCCACAGTGTTTAATTTGGATTTAAGGAGATGAAAGTTTATTCAAGTTGTATATTTATATTTTTAATTAAGTGAAAGCTTCAATTAACTAAACTGTAGCAAAAAGAAAAKAAAATAGCTAAAAGTAACTCTAAAAGTAGCTAGCGCTAAAAACCTAGCGAAAAGGAACAGAAAAGACAAAAACAGAGTGAGTTTGTTGAAATAATTATCAGCGAACAATATTTTTGAAGGAGCTGAATATCTCATTGAATCTATGTGGAGAAAATTTTTCGTAAATAAAGTTAAATAATTCAAAAAGGATAAAGGTTACAAATAAAAGTCACTAAGCAGAACTTTTTTAAATGCAAATAGTTAAATTAGCACAACTCATGCAGGTGTTTAAATGCAATAAATGTATTAAAAACACAATAAAGAGAATAATGTATGAATGCTGACACAGCATAACAATAAATATTAAAACAATAACAATAAAACACATTATAAAAATTACTCATTATTTACAATACATTTCAATGTTGTGTTGTTAAAGGAGTAGGAAGATGTGTAAACTTATTCAGTCCTACCTCAGAGCTTTTATATCAACGCTGTCGTTGTTCATGCTGCTCTATTCATGATCAGTGATTATATTTTATATAAATATTCAATCAAGAATAAACATTTTTAACAACTTCATATATTTTCCTAGAGCATACAAGTACATAGTACACATCTATACACGCACCAATATATCTTTAAAGATTATAAATCCACACAAATACAAAAGGTAAACACACATGGCCTAGTTAATCAGTCCCAGCACAGCTAAATATAGTTTCAATGTAAGGTCATTTAATATGTTCATTCTGCATGTGGGAAAAACCTTTGGATCTTGAAATGTTCAAACTAACTAACTAAAAAAAAAAACATTGTAGATACGTGTTTTGAGGAGCCTGTCAATCTATTGTATGATAAGTTGTCTTGCCGTATCAGTTTGCATGTTCCAGCTGATGGCCAGGACTTCAGGGATACCTGATAACTCAGCAGCCAATCAGTTGGTCACAGTGAGATACCTGATCAGCTGTGAGCCAATGAGATGCCCCTGGTTTCTGGCTCTGATGGATGCCACAGCTGCAGCGGGAGCAGACCGACCAATCAGGACGCTGCTTTCTGCAGGACAGCGTTGTGCAAAAGCTGCAGCTGTAAGAGYGTTATCAAAACGCAGCCTGAGATCATCAGAGAGTCCCCAAAACACATTTTCACCAAGAGATTTGTCCTGGGAACCAGTGAAACTAATCTTTGGCAGCAGTGTGCAGCACAACTCAACATACCAGCACTGTCAGTACAAGAGGATTATGGTTGTGACAGATGGGCTGTCCACATTAGAGCTTTWTTTGGCGAGGAAACGAACAGAGCCTCTAAGGAAAAAGGCAAGAACTGAGAATCATATAAGGTTATTCTTCAGTCAGCTTTAATGGTGGCATTTTTCAAGAATGACATCATTATGTTAATGTTAAAGGCCTAGCATTCCTTTAGGGAAAGCCCAACGCCCACCACCTTTCAAGCCAGAATGCTAAATGACAGCCCTAAGTTCAATGAAGGGACGTTGTGCAAAACATAATTAAAAACAGAGTACGATGATTTTCAAATCCTTTTCAACCTTAATTAAATACACTACAAAGACAAGATATCTACTGTTCAAACTGATAACTTTATTTTTTTTTTGTAAATATTCACTCATTTTGAATGTGATGCTGCAACATGTTCCAAAAAAAGCWGTGACAGGGGCATGTTTACCACTGTGCTACATCACCTGTCCTTTTAACAACTCCCAACAACCGTTTGGRACCTGAGGACACTAATTGTTGAAGCTTTTTGGGTGGAATTCTTTTCCATTCTTGCTTGATGTACGACTTCAGTTGCTCAACAGCCTT